TAAGTTCAAATTGTCGGCTGTCCTAAAAAGACGACCTTCAGTCAGTTGTTAAAGGGACAAACGATGGCTTGTTAATTTTAACACCTCTTAAACAAAATCGCTCTCTATAAATCATCTGAGAAATCCCTTTCTGCCTTCCATCAGCATAACTGACGGTATCCTTCAGGAGAAAGAATCATTGCGCATTCTCGGGCTAATACTCTCGATTGACATGAAGAGGAAAGAATCCATTGCTTGGTCAGCTGCTAAGAAATTTAGTTCACTGTGTCGTGCTAGACATTTTTCTCTTCAGAATCTATCTTTCATATAATTTAAGCATTCTATAAGTCAACCTTTTGTCCATACTTAGAATATTGCTACCACATGTAGTCTGGTGCTCCTACTATATATTTAGAGATTCTTGGTAAAATACAGAGGAAGGAATTTATTATTGTGAAGGCACTTCCAGTGATTTCATAGCTAGAGCAGCAATCCTATATGCCACACCTTGCCAAAAGCCTTTGAAATATCCAATTCTATGGCCCTTGGGGTGCACTTGTTATTTAGTGTCTCACTGATTTAGTAGGTAATAGTAGTTAGAACATCAGCAATGGATGGGGCCAATCTAATCCCGTACTGCTTGTCACTCAAGAAGCAGTTCTTATCTAGGTGCTCAACAATCTTATTGATTATAGCCTCAAAAAGCTTGCTAATGATACTGAGGAAACTGATGGGTCTATACTGAGAGGAAGATGAGAGCTCGTCCGTGTTCTTGAAAATCGAGCATGCGCTTAACATTTCCACAAACTTAGGAAGGATGTCTCCTTCAAGGAGCGGTTAAATAACTTTGCTAGGATCGGAGATAGTTCTTGAGGGTAACCACTGGGATTCTGCCTGGGTCAGTGGCGTTCTTAGGGTTAATGTTTTTGATAAGTCTTGAGACTACTCGGGCTGTAATGTATTACTGAGATTGCGCTCAGTGAGATGTGGGAAGTTGGGAAAGTGATTCGTTGTAGAGACCGAAGGGAAGAGTTTCGCCTTAACTGTCAATAAAATTATGACTCGGGCCATAAAAAAATAATGGACACAGCCTCTTTGCCTCTCTTCATAATTTGGTTGGAGATAATCGAGATTTCTCGGGATCCATTTTGCTTGTTTTCAACCTTGGCCTGGACCGCTTGTGCATAGCTATGCTTTGCTTTTTACAGAACTTTCTTGTGGTGATTGTGAGTTGAATGTAGTAAGAGTCAAACTACGCTGCTTTTTGCGATAGATATTGAAGTAGTGCTTACGTTGAGCTGTGGCTGCAGCGCATTCAAGAGGGCTGACTGTTTTTTATTGAAATTTCTTGGTCGAACACAGACGGTTTTTTATAGTCTATTCAATATCATTTAGTTCCTTATACTTTATGTTTTTATCAATTTTGTTATTAAGTGTCCCATATTGTTATAATAGAAGTGACAAGTCTGTGAGTCTAGTTAAAATGTCTGGCACTGGTACAGAAAAGAAGTTTTAATTCTTGGTAGCAAGGCTTCTCATTCGGAATTTGAACTCGGTTCGCTGAACCCGATTTCCAGGTCACTAACCACTTTGCTTTAATAATAATCAAAATATCGATGACGTTCCTTAACAACAATGATGAAGTTGATCGGTTCGAGGATGTGATTGGTTTTGACAGTGAAGCTGGATGATCAGAAAAGCCAATTGATGTTGATTACCCTTTGAATAGTACGTGCCAATATTTGTATGCCCCGTTTGGCATACTTTGTTGGCACGATTCGGGGTGGTGCGGAGAGACGGTGGAGTTGTCTTGGAGAGAAAAAGAAATTAAAAGACCGATTCGGAAACGGACGTGAATTCTTGTGAACTGGGTGAACTTGGACATTCCTGCAAGCCAAGTAGGTCTTGCGATAACTTCAGCTATTGGAAACTAGCACGAATGGAATCGACGGGCCGAGAACTTTGCTGCTTTCGTTATCGCTTACTTTTTCTTTCCTTTTTAATCTTGTTGACTTATGCGAGATGAGAATATGAAAGAAGAACGATGAAAAGAAAAGAGAAAGGAACGACAAGGATTACAAAACAAAGTACCATTAAAAACAAAAGATATACACACACACACACACACACACACACACACACACACACACACACACACACACACATATATATATATATATATATATATATATATATATATATATATGGTCATCCCAGACCCACACAAAACTGCTAAATGAAAGATCAGAACATATCTAAAAAGCAGGCACGAAAACAAAGTTTTACTACGTTACTTAAAACCAAAAACTGAAAACGAACAAGAACAAACAAAACTAAATAAAATAAAATAAACAAAAGTCAACTAAATTAATTTAAACCAATAAATAAATGAACTAAGCAAATAATAACCAAATTACCAAACCATGAACGCACACATAAACACAGCTAAACGTAATAATAAAAACTAACAATAAAATTATCAATGATAAATTTAAAAAAAATTAACAAACAACATTATAAATAGCCAAAAATTGTATCCGGGCCCACAATTATTCCCACTCAATATTCCTTAAAATAATTTAAAACGTAACCGTTATTGCTCACCAAAAGAACCGCTAGGATAATACAATAGTCTACACACAATGCATTACTCACCAGTATATATAAATAGTCGAGCAAAAACAATGTATATGGTTCGGCGATTGCGCTTAGCATGACACAGACATTCGCCACTTGGTTTTGATTTCAGTTTATATTTACATATGCTCTATCCTTTATATTGAGCATTTTTGTAAATATAGTATACCTTAAAACTATATATATATATATATATATATATATAGAGAGAGAGAGAGAGAGAGAGAGAGAGATAAAAAGTACAATAAGTATAGAGGAAGAGATACACAAAAACTAAGTCAGCGGAAAATGAAAAAAATCTCAATAAGACGAAGGGGATGAAGAGGACAAAATATTACGATTCAAAATAATGTCATGTAATGTAAAACAAAGCAACAAGAACATAATAACAAAATAAAATTTTTCCACGCAAAAGGGATAAAGTCAGGTGGTTATAGCCTTTTGAATTCAAAAAAGACAAATATCCGTGTAAGACTAAGAATTATCCATTTTTATTGGTTAGGACAACATCCCAGCATGCATCTGTATGATGTCTCTCTGTTTTTGGAGACGGTAGAATTTTAGCAGTCCTTCCCCGAAACTGAAAACAACAATTGGAAAAGGAGTCAGTCAGTTATGTGTCATGCGTGACGGGGCAGATTTTTTTCCCGCAGTAGATTGCCATTTTTTTCTGGGGCACACTAGTTGCTATCTAAGGCTATAGAATCCGGTCTGCCCTGTTATTTACCCATAGATGGGGGGAGAAGAAGAGGATTCATACCTTTTCCCAAGGGGATTAGCACGTAAGTGAATGTAATGGATTTGACTGGAAATTCGAACTTGGCTCTCCGATTCCTCAATCTGAAGGCGAAAAAAGTATTGAGAGAGAGAGAGAGAATACATTTAGCAAAAAAGAAAGGGAGTGAGAGAGAAGTTGAAAATTTTCCATAAATTTCGTTTGTTCCTCTTGCTACAAATCGTTTTGGGATTTTTTTCTAACTGGATTGTTAAAGGAAATAGGACGTGTTTAGATCAATTTTTCAAAATTACTTGATGTAATATCAGAAAGCCTTGGTGCGCATCGATTATAATACTGATGTAAAACTAGCAAAGATGAAGATACCAATCTATATACATAACTAAATAATGATAATATCACTGGCAAAATTCAAGAATGCTGGAGAACTGATGGAGAAATGGTTTGGTCAAGAAAACACAGATGGATTATTAATGATTTCCTGACAAATTGCTAGACCTGTGAAAATTAAACGGAGATTAGCAACCAATAATAGCCTTTATCTTGAGTCTCTGTTCGTCTTCCACTCTTTGCCCGTATCTTTTCATCCACTTTATTAACTCCTGTCATCATTACCCGTAAGTTTTTTGTTTTTTTTACTTAAATATTTTACTTTGATTATGGCGTCTTGTAAACAAGATGTAAACATTCTCTGGGAAATGTTGTCATCTTGCCTTGCTCCTTTTTCTAATTTGTCTTGTCACCATTTTGGTGTAATCTCTGTGGATGTAGCTTCATTGTAAAGATCCTTTAGTAGTATAATGTAAGCTGAATCCATTCCTTGCTTCTCCAGTGGGGTAAATGGTGCATTCCTAACAAAATCATTTGGGAGAGCAAGGATAGGATCTATTCTGCCACCTTGACTTCGCAGATGACATCATACTAATAGCCTATACACCACAGGACTTGCCTGTGATACTCACTGCTATCCACACTGAGCCAACGAGTAGACCTTAACATGTATCTTGAGAAAATCAAGGTCATGTTTAATAGCCACGCCAAACTATAACCAATTATTGTAGATGCAAAGATCATCGAGCAAGATTTATTAAGATTGCAAGAGATGGTGACCCTACTTCCGGAGGTCAAATGAAGTATTCCACTTGGCTGGGAAAGTTTATAGCATCGTGAGACGTCCCAAGTCAACAATCGCGACGATATGACCCGATATCTCGATACCAAGAATGGCCAGAGATAGGTGTCGGTGGAGGTCAACCAGGCAGTGGATATTCCCACAGAAGTGAGAAGGTCCTGGATTTGCAAATATTTTGGGCACTATTTATATGAGAACAAATAAGAAGAATGCACAAATATTTATTACTGTGTAATCTACCTTTTCCTTTATCGCTATAAAAATTTTAAATTTTACGCCATGCCTAATTTTCAATGTTTCGCTCGATGTAACGTCAACGGACTTTTATATTCTTCGCTTTTTCCAGTTTCCATCCGCTGAACTGGATTCGACCAGCAATTTCTCGATCTAACTAAAAGTAACGAATTAAGTTATGTATGAAAGCCTAGCGGTATTAAATTTTGAATAGACAAATCGAAACACAGAAATCAGAAGCCAAAATTTGAAGATTGTTGTTTGATTAATTCATAGAATGAATCACATTTTTCTTATATGATGAGAGAAAAAAGAGAGAAGAGAGAAGAAAGGGAGCAGAAAGAGAGAAGCAAGAGCGAAAAGAGAAGAAAAAGAGAAAAGAGAAGACGAGAGAAAAGAGAAGAAAAAGAGAAAAGAGAAGACGAGAGAAAAGAGAAGAAAAAGAAAAAAGAGAAGACGAGAGAAAAGAATAGAAAGAAAGAAAAGAGAAGAAAGAAAACCGAACAATGAGAAACAAAAAAAAAAAAAAGAAATGAAAATAAAGAAAGAATGAAGAAAAATGCAATGGAAGGAAGAAAAAAGATAAATCGAGAAGCAGAAAATAAAGGAAGAAACAAAGAAAATGAAAAAAATAATGGAAAAGGAAAATGATAAAAAAAGAAGGAAAATAAGAAATAAAAAACTATGTGAAATATAAAGAAATTGAAGAAACAGAAAAAGAAGAAAATTATAGAAAGAAAAATGGTAACAGAAAATAAAAGAAAGAATTAAAATAAATGGAAAATGGATAATGAAAAAGAGAGAGGAAAAAATAAAAAGAAATAATGTAAAAGAAAATGAAAAATATAAAAGAAAAAAACATTTTAAAGAAGGGAAATAAGAATGAAAAATAGAAAGAAAGAAAGAAAGAAAGAAAGAAAGAAAAACCAACTTCAGAGAAATTAGAGACGAAAAAGAACAAGCAAATAAAGAAAATAAAGGAAAGGAAAAAAAGTAAGCGAATAAAAGATAAAAATTCAGAAATAAATATTTTAGGCAACTAAAAAGTTTAAAGTTACCGCCATCAAAAAAGAAAGAGTGAACGAAGATAAAGGGAAAAGTAAAATTTCAAAATTAACGTTGTATCTGCGGATATAAGCGTGGACATTGCTATTTTCTAACTACATGCAATCTATAATCCTTTTACTGTGAAAATTTTACGAGTCACTATCAAGTCTGACGAGGTCTTTTCTGACAAATTGGGCAACAAAGGGTCTCGTATCGCTGCCAAAGAAAGGTGCACAAAACACTAACCCAAGATATAAACGACAAAAATTTGAATATCAAAACATGAGCCCTGGCATTTTAGCAAACATTTTTCTTTTATCTTTTTAGTTTCGAAATGGCAGGAGCAGTACTAAATCTAACTCCAAACCAATTTTTTTTTTTATTTTCGTCTTCCGTTAACTTGGAGTAAACAAATTCAAAATTTGTAATATTAAACATGAAAATTTTTTTTTCTGCAAATTAACTGTCGGCCATGTTTCAGCTCATCTTCTGCGTGTTATTTTAATCGCCTTTTGGCTTCTTTATTTTTGGGTTCTTGAAGAAATAATTTAGTCTTGTCAATCAAAGAGTTTAATTGCAAAGAAATCACCAGAACATCTCCCGCCTTTACTGAAGTTAACACCCACTTATAAGTAGAAGCATTTAAAGTGTCCTCGGAAGAAAAACGGGCAAAAACTTTAGGAAGGCGGGAAAATAGGAATGATGGTGTAAAAAGAAGCGAGAAGATAAAAACGTTAAAATAAATTTAGAAAACAAAGATTGACTATTGATCAAGTAAAGGTGAAAAAGTACATAAAAAGGAGGAGAAAGTAAAAGTAAAAGCAAAGATGCGCGAATAGACAAATGCAGAAGAAAATAGAAATGGTAAACATAGTGAAGTGAAAAAGAAAGAAAATAAAGATTTAATAAAAGAAAAAAACGAAATAGGAACGAATATAAAACAAAAAAATAGAAAATGTTGAGAATAGGATTTATCCACTCGAAGTGGATTTTCTATAACAAATATAAATAAAAAGGATATATATTTAATAAATTAAAACAGTAAATACAAAAAAACCCCAAAAAAAACCAAAAAAAAAAACCAGAAAAACAAAACATACATCGTAAAAGGGGCGGATTTGCATCAAGTCTATTATGCCGTCCAAGACTCTGGTTAGTTTCAACATTGTGTTTGTAGAAATGGTTTCAGTTCTTTGGATTTATTTAAGAAATTTCGAAACAATCTCAAGATTTTACTCGATTGGTTTGTGTTTTACAGCTTATCAATCCTTTGATAGTTATTAGAAACTGAAACATATTTTGGATTGTAGAAATAATTTCTTATATTTACGAATAAATATTGCATTAAAAACCTTTTCTTTAATATTTTATTTAACCCATAACTGGGCGGAAGAGATGGATTCCTGCGTTTTGTAATGTCATTTACGCTCAAGTGAATGCAACTAAAACTGGAATTACACCACCCACCCATCTAAAAGTTTCAAAAAGCCCATTAACGGGGATGTTGCCCATTTATCGGATCACCACGGATTTAATCCATTAGTTGGTCATTTGGTCAGTTTTTGGAAAGTGGTCGAGCCGAAAACAATTGCGCGTTCACTCGTACAGGTGTCAACTTCATATTTATTATATTTTTTTGTCCACAAGCATAGTCGCCATATTTATTCGAATTTTAATTCTCATTCAATTTCATTCAGGGTCACAAGAACGACATCTACTTTCTGGAAATTATCATTGACAGGACCCCAGTCTCATAACATTTCGTTGTTTCCTCAGTGTCCCATATTTTGTGCTTAATTTCCAAAGATTTCTGTGGGAGACTTTTTCATAGCGTCATTATTATTATTATTATTATTATTAGTGTTGCTGTTGTTGTTTATCACTAAAATGGAATTTCGTTCATCGTTAAAAACGATAACGTCAATGTAATTTTATGAAGCACTGTACAGTTTATGTCCACTGAAGGTAAGTAGAGATTTGGACACAATCTACAGACACAAATTAGATACTTGTCATGGAATTTCGTTTCATACAGTTTAAACAAGCTGCTAACTTGTTTCTGGCTTTGGTTCAGCCTCTATTTTGTTCTTCTTGTCGACTTCCGTCTTTCTGAGATACGCACAGTAACATTACAGGCCAGCAATGAAGCAAAACACAAGATGGAAATATATTTTTAATAAAAAATATCGAGTAAAATGGATTTGTACGTTTGTATTTCGGATGTCGCAAACAAAAGACTGCTCTATAAAGAAAAAAATTCGCGGAATTTTCCATGGCACGTTAAGCCGCTAAAATAAGGTCGGCCGTTTTCTAGTTTCGCTTGGATGATGTTATTTATTGTTTAAATTATTTGTGATCCTTTTCTGTTTATTTAATTTTCCTTCAGTGCTTCGATTTCTTTAAACATTATTTCCGTTTTGAGTCTTTTCTTTTCCTTTCTAAATTTATTTCTTTTATTGTCACTTTCTTTCTTTCGACATTGAAAGATTTTTCTTTTTTTAAAAATTTTTTCTTTCAATTTTTAAGATTCCATTCTTTGTTTTTTTTAATTAAAATACTCTTTATTTTGCTATCTAAAATAGCTTTTTATCATTTCTTCTATATTAAAAGATTCATTCATCCTTTCTCTTTTCGCGTAGTTCATTTTTTCATTTTGTTTTGTTGTTTTCATTATTCAGATATATACTTTTGTTTCTTTCACTTAATTAAAAATCTATATTTATTAATTGTATGGAATGCTTCTCTTTCCTTAATTCTTTCATTCATTTTCTTTATTCATGGTTTTCCTTTTCTTTTTCTTAATTTTATTCATCCATTCATCCTTCTATCCAATCTTTGCGTTCGTTTCTTTCCTCTTGTCATCTTTCATTTTAACCACCCTTCCTTCCTTTATATATATATATATATATATATATATATATATATATATATATATATATATATATATATATCCTATCTTTCTTGTAATTCTTGAATTCTTGTTATGATTACTTCCTTCTTTTCTTAATTCCTCTATGTCTTCCTTCATACTGTGCCTCACCTCCTTCCTCTCGGATTTATCTCATTACGCCCTCCCAGTTTCATTTCTCGTTTTTTATTCTACCTGATTGCTATTTATCGATTCTAAATAAATGCCCGTAGACAACACACATAAACAAATGATAGGCACAAATATTGGTGGAAAAAACGCCAGTATGAAAATATGTGGTATAACGAAAATTCCTTCTGCTTAGTTTCATACACATATATCGATAGACATACAAGTATACACATAGGCAGATGCATAAACATATGGCTAGGTAAGCACGCATGTATCTTCATTGGTACACTCATGCATGCACATATATACCCAGACTCACATATGGACATTATACATACATATATATATATATATATATATATATATATATATATATATATATAATCAAATGGATAAATATATGTAAATGTACGAGCAAGCACTCATATATATATATATATATATATATATATATATATATATATATAGCCTAAAGTGTAAAAAAACAGTGCTCAAAGTTAAATAACAGAGCTATTTAATATATTAAAATATACATAATACTCTACATTGATTGCACAACTCGAAGATTCATGTCTGCATTCCTCCGGTGTCAATTTTGTGTTTACACTGCTTGTTTAATATTTCCGGTTATCGCGAAATATTTTATTATTAGGGTGGATTATTATTGTTATTAAGTATTTAAATGAATTTTAGTTTAATTTTGGATTTGAATTTAGGCCTAGATTAACATTTAAAATTGAGTGTGAGACTGAAAATGAGAATTATAAATTTTAATTTAAAAACGGACGCTGTTGTTATAAAAAAAAACGTCTGGAGATCAAAGGGAATAACTTTATTTTTTATATGAAAATCAATAAAGAAATTAATAATATTAATAAAATTAATAAAATAATAGGCAGTGATAAAATAAAAGGTACCAATAAAAATGATACATAGCAATAAAAATAAAAGCAAATAAAACTATATAAATAAGAACATATAAATAATAAATAAATAAACATAATAATAGCAATAAAAAAAACGTGGCTGGTAATAAGAGAAAAAAATAAAGTAAGACAAAAACAATAATAATGCTTATATAATAAAAATAGTATTATGATAATAAAAATAATAAAATAGCATAAATGTTAAATGCATTAAAGTTTAACAATAACAATAGTAAAGATAGCAAAAATGATATAGTAAAAATATTCATAAAAATAAATAATTAATTATATCAATACTAGTATTTGTGGTCCCTGTGCCCGGTTAGACTATATTAATCTGGGTCAACCTGCTTTAGTAGAAATTTAGTTTTAATTTAGTTCTAGGTAAGCTGATGCTCATTAACTCACTTCTTTTGTTTAAGAGATTTGGATTGTTCATAACTTTAGCATCATTAATTTTTCAGAAAGACATATGTTACAACTGTCGCCTTTCCCGATGAAAGGTTTAGCTTTCGTTACGCATTCCCAGGTGATAATTGGATTTTTATTCTCGCTTTTCAGTTTCCAGAAAAAATTTTAGAGGGCTGTACTGTTACTATATTTGATGTATTTATTGTATCGAAAAATACAATTGTGGCACAAGGCCTGAAAAGGGGAGGGGTTGAGGCTGGTCTTCACTAACTATCCTATACCTAGCTAATCCGATTCACGACCCATTCACTCATTACAATTTGCCCGCTCACCACAAGAACTCATCCATCACCAAACAATCCTCCTTACACCATAATACCACATCCTCACAAGGGGGGACCTACAAAACGCGCCCCATGCAATTAAAAATTTAATGATAATTGTATATATATATATAAATCTCGTGATGAGGGATGAGAGGGGAGGGAGATGAACCCAATAATAAACTGAAAATATAAACATAAGTCAAATTGAACATAACTGATGTTAGTAGGGCCCGTCCAACCCTCAAATACAAAGAGGCGGCTGTATTCTGCCCATGGGACAAAATCAAGAAGCTCTCTCACTAAGGGTGTGGGGAACGGATAAGAAAAATCGTACGGGCATGGGAGAATATAACGCTGACCCAGACGAGATAAAAAAGGGGGGGACCAAAAACAAACTGGGGAGGTTGGGAATCTCAAACTGGATCATAACCAAAGAAGTGGCCAGGAACAGGCCGGGAAGCACATTTACTCACATTAACTAGGTACACCAAAGCTTGTCTAACCTAACCAGGGGGAGGGCTCCTCAGGAAACCACCCCGATGTGACGTAGGCTTGACCTAAAAGAGAAAATCAAGGCTAGCCCCGTTCAAACGAACCAAGCTCGCCTCTTTCACCCACCTTTCGCTGAAGACTGTCGAATGCAATCGTTTTCTATCAGTTCTAATCTTCATCTTGAGCTGATGCTCAAAAAATCGGGCCAGATCCTGATGAGAAAGACGGTTGCCTCGCAAGACTTCCTCCTGTCGCGTCGTCCAAATCACCATTCGAGCCGTGGCTAGCAGCGTGAGAAACACCATCCGTTTCACCCCAGAATACGGGGGCGACACATTGTCACACGCGTATGCGCGATCAATGGGCACAAGCTTTTCGGGAGCGAGACGAGCCGTCAGCTCGCCGACACTACTATATTTACTATTTGATATTGCCTAATGTCATTTGATGGTGATAGAAGCGCGATTTCCAATGGTTTTCCGTAGAGCTCATAAAGAACTTGACATTGTCGTCATGTTTGATTTCAACTTTATAGACTAACGATTTATAAATGAGCAGGGTTTGTTTTTTCGGCAGTTGCATTACTTGGAGCGATGTTGCTGTTTTGTAAGTTGTTGAAGGGTTTGTTTAGAATGGAACAGTTGTGCTGCGATATATACTGGTCGATGTTTTTGGCACAACCGTAGCTAACGTTGTTTTTGTTGAAATTCTTACTTAACGTTGGGTAATGACTGAATTGCTTAGAGATTAAATTTTTAAAAAATCCGATATTATGTTTGACATTTTTGTTGAAGGGCGGTTTAAACCATATTATATTGCATTTGTGACGTTTCAGTTTGTTGACGTCACTATTACTATTGGCTAAGAATTCGTGGTTAATTTTATGGTTACTCTGTTCTAGTGCTTCTACATATTTGCCTTTATGTTTTTCAAAAATATCCTTCTTGCTAGAGTTGCTGAACAACCTAAGTTGTATCGACTTATGTAAATTATTTAGTATTCCAGTTTGGTTGTTAGATTGTTTGCTGATCTATCCATGGTAGTATAAATCTTTAATATATGGTTTATACATACATTTCAGACCAAGCGAGTCTATAATGCCACTAAGACGCCAGTCGTTAGTGAAAGAGAAATAGCATGAGAATGAAAAGACTTTAGTGAGAAGAAAAAACATTAAAAGAACAGGATCAAGGAAGACAGAATATAGCGATAGACGTTGCATTTAAATTTATGAAAATCGTAGGTGACGGGGAAGCAATAAATCGGGAAAGGTTCTATATGCGGGAAGTGCGTGAAAGGAAACTATAGAATAGAACTTACGGTTACATCTTTTGCTATTTCAAAAAGAAAACAATGAGACTTAGTTGACAATTTAGTAGTGCGCGTAAATTCTTGCGCCCTGGGTACCAAAATTGAGAGCTCGTTAGAATAATAACCATGAAAATATTTAAAGAAAAGACAGAATGAAACCAGTCACAGCGCTGGAGAAAGTTACTGAAAGTCGAGATGCCAGGCCAGGACCGAAAATGTTGCATACATT